TTCAGGTTTCTAGTGTGCGTCCTGTTTTTTTACATGGTCTAATACCAGAACAACAAACGGACTACTATAAATGTGATATTAAAAAACACATTTAAAGTATTATCTTTTGCAATCCTCTGATTAAATCTTGGATGAACTGTTTGTTTTTTGTTGTATTTTTATGAATAAGGCCTGCATGTGATGAGTGAGCCTTATCACACAAGAGGTCATGACTTCCCCTACTATTTGTTGCCATAACTAACCAAAAAATGTGCACACAGAGATCAAACATCCTCGTAAACAAACGTATTTTTAATAGTCCACCCCAGAAGCACATTTACACATTGTCACAACAGTTCCAATCCTAACATTCAGTGTGGAAAACTGTCAAAACTGATTATTTAATTCATAAAAATATCTTAATGAAATAAAGAAAACATTTGCAAACCTCATTAACATGACCCAGATTTTTCCCAGGCCTGATAAAGACTGTAGTGAAAACCATTAGAATTTGGTTGCCAAAATAAAACAAGCTTTGTCTCATATGTCTGGGAAGATACCTTATTGACCTCTGCAGGGAGTCTGAATTGTCACATGGTGGCAGTAAATGGTCAGCCAGTTCCCACAGACAGCGCGGTAAAAGAAGCAGGGATAAGACCCGGCAGCTGCCTGGCCGTAACAACGTTTTCTGCCTCGGAAACCATGTCAGCAGCTGATTTCTCTTCGTTTTTCCCCTTCACACTATGAGAGCCTCTTCTCACCAGCACCGCTTTATGTGTGTGTAGCTCCCACACTGTACTCCAGAGTCAGAGCTGTGCAGCCTGCCTGCAGTGAGTTTAACAGGCTGGTGTTGGTGATGAGGTGACAGGCCTGCGAGCAATCAGACTGATTCAGTCAGCAAACATCAGATGTCTCCCCCCCTTCCTTTGGCTGATATTTCATACGCTTACCCTTGCAACAACAGAAAGATGGGGCAAGGGCAGGCTTTGCTTTTGGCTCTTTGTCATTTAGCACACATTAGCAGGTTGAATGCATAGTGTCAGTGACATGAAAAGCAGGCCAGAGAGAGCTGAGCGTCTACCTAAATGAAGGGTTACAAGCGATACACGTCAGCACTCCTTGACGATTTTCTTTTGTATACTCTGTCCTGTAACATAGTTCAGATAACTCATGTATAGCACAAATGTTCTTGGTGCACTTTACATCGGCTCATACTGCATATAGTAGAACATACACTCACCAGCCTTCATTAAGCACGCCTGTTCAGCTGCTCATTAACACAAATGTTAGCCAAGCATAGGTTCAAACCGAGCATCAGGATGGGGGAAAGAAAGCGATTTAGCTCATTTGACCTTTGCACAGTTGTGGGCATCAGATGGGCTGATCTGAATATTTTCCACACAAGCATCTCTAGGGTTTACGGACAACAGTCTGAAAAAGAGAAAATGCCCAGTGAGCGGCAGCTCTGTTGTGGCCGGAGGTCAGAGGAGAATGGCCCCACTGTAGAGCGCCTTTGTGATGTGGTGGAGCGGGAGATTCACATCATGGACGCAGCTTGTCTGATGCTGTTGTGTCAATATGGACCACAATCTCTGAGGGCTGTTTCCAGCACCTTGTTGAATCTCTGTCACAAAGAATTAAGGCAGCTCTGAAGGCAAAAAGGGGAGTTCAGCCCAATACCAGGAACATGTACCTAATGAAGTGGCTGCTGAGTGTATCAGATGCCTCCCTCACTTAGATTTCCCTGCCCAGCAGATGGCGTGCCCAACAGATGCAAAGCTCAAACAAGCAACTGTGTTGGTGTTTAAGTGAAAGTAAAGAAAGAGGGCAGTAGAGTACCACGCTACAGCTGGTGGAAAATAAAGTCCACCACACTGAAACCTCGGGGAGCAAACAGAGTAAGACAGGAGAATAACTCATCTGGACACTTGAGATCATATCCACCATTAAACACAACGAAGGAGGCACTTTATTGTGTTAGTCTGCGTTGTTATTTCCCATGAAATTCAGCTCAGGCGCTTTTGAGAAGACGCAGGATATGTTTCAACACTTTAGAAGGTTTTATTTCACAGTTTCATCTGTGTAGGTGTTTAAAACTTAGAATTCAAGACAATTTAATTCTCAGTACATAGGTTTACCAGAAACAACTGATATGTCACATAGATTTCTACATCTATCATACCTTCAAATCACTGACTAAAGTTTCATCATCAGGCGCTTTTAGATTAGGTGCTAATGACCAGACGCTCACCAAGGAGTGAAAAACCTATCCCGTTTATGCTCTGGTGTCCTCTCTGATGTGACACGTGTTGTGACATCAGGGTAAGATCCAAAGACCTGCCTAAAGTCCTTCAGAACGAGTTTCTATTATTTATCATTATCATTATTATTTTAGATACCTTTAAGGTCAGAGAGAAACCACAAAGATCTTCAAATAAAATATTGCATAGTAAGGAAAATAACAACAATTGATTTTTCCACTAAATACACCCCAAGAAGACTCCATGAAGCCATAAAATTCATGTAGGTAACTCTTGCAAGCTGTAGTGTCATAGTGCATGTAGCTACAATCAGAAATAGATGACCAGAATATGAAGTCTTTCAGGAAAACTCAAAAAGAGCCACTTTTACAGCTAACATAGAGGTATAATAACTATTATGCTCTCTAACTGTAACAGTATCCTTGACAAAGGCCAAAGTTGTCTTTGCAGTAGCGGAACTGCAAACCAGCTGTGAAAAATGGCAGTGAAAATGTGATTCAGGGTGGCTTTGCTAACTCAGGGACAGGACATAGAGCATTTACTGATTCACCTGTGTACATTCTGCATCACATTAAAGAGTGCTTGAATATAATGCAAAGCCATTTGTCCATGAGCCAAATCTTAACAGGAAGTGCACCTTTAAAAAGGATGATAATGCTAAGTGCACAAGGAAATCTATCAATGGATGTCTCTGAAACCTGGAACTGAGTCAAAAACAAGATCCTGCTGTAGTGTTTGGGGGATTTGAAAATGGCTAAACCTTCAAGTGAAATAAGTCAGTCAGTCAGTCAGTCAGTTGTCCATCCATCCATCCATCCATCCATCCATCCATCCATCGATCCATCCATCCATCCATCTCTAATTCAGGGAAAGGAGTTGAGCTGGAGCCTATCCCAGCTGTCATATATAGCAATTCTTTCAATTTACAATCACAGCACACCTCTGTATACTTTTAGTCATTAATTATTTTTTGTTATATTAAACAGAGATCATGTGAAGCAAAGAAAGTATTAATAACACACATATAATGACAGACATGAGGCATCAGTAGCATAATATTTTTGGTCCATCACCCCAATTAAAATAACAATATTTTTTGTCGTCCTTGGTGGTCATGCTACATTTATCAAAACCTCCCGGGACATTAGAAAAAACTCAGTTTTGTCCAAGAAAAGTGTTTCATGGATGCTTTTATTTTTGTGAAGCAGGAAACAGATAAAAGCGCCACTCTTAGGTTATTTATGCTTTATGTAACAGACGGAACTTTTTATGGCTGTAGATAATTTATCAGAATGTGCTGAATATGTCCAAAAATGTGCTACGCTGGACATCTTCTATCACAGTCCAACAATCTGATGGTGAAAGTGAAGCCCTGCAGAAGGATTTCATTTCAAAGCGCACTCATTTCTCTTCATCTGTCATCTTTTTTCCTTCTCTCTCAAATATGGTCACATTTTTATTTCAATATCACCTCCATTTTTTATCTTCATTTCCAAAGATGGGTGGAATGTTTTTTAAAGACTGACTTATTGATTGATGAAGCTGACTCTTTAGTCTGTTGCGCTATTATGTGATTTCACAAGTAACACTCGAGGGATGTAAAGCATATTGTGCTTGGCACCACAACAGATGCAAGTATAGTCTAGTACGTCCAGTTTTTGCTCATTGCAGATAGAAACTGAGAAACTGTAGCCCTCTGATATATATATATATATATGTAT